CTCTTGAAGACAGTCAGTGGGTCTTGATGACAGCCAGTGGGTCTTGAAGACAGTCAGTGGGTCTTGATGACAGCCAGGGGGCCTTGAAGACAGCCAAGAGGTCTTGAAGACAGTCAGGGGGTCTTGAAGGCAGCCAGTGGGTCATGAAGACAGCCAGGGGGTCTTGAAAATAGCCAGTGGGTCTTGAAGACAGCCAGAGGGTCTTGAAGACAGCAAGTGGGTCTTGATGACAGCCAGGGGGTCTTGATGACAGCCAGGGGGTCTTGAAGACAGCCAGGGAGTCTTGAAGACAGCCAGGGGGCCTTGAAGACAGCCAGGGGGTCTTGACAGCCCGAGGGTCTTGAAGACAGCCAGGGGTCTTGAAGACAGCCAGGGGTCTTGAAGACAGCCAGGGGGTCTTGACAGCCAGGGGGTCTTGATGACAGCCAGGGGGTCTTGGAGACAGCCAGGGGGTCTTGAAGACAGCCAGGGAGTCTTGAAGACAGCCAGGGGGCCTTGAAGACAGCCAGGGGGTCTTGACAGCCCGAGGGTCTTGAAGACAGCCAGGGGTCTTGAAGACAGCCAGGGGTCTTGAAGACAGCAAGGGGGTCTTGAAGACAGCCATGGGGTCTTGAAGACAGTCTGTGGGTCTTGAAGAATGCCAGGGGGTCTTGATGACAGCCAAGAGGTCTTGAAGACAGCCAATGGGTCTTGAAGACAACCAGGGGGTCTTGAAGACAACCAGGGGGTCTTGAAGACAGCCAGTGGGTCTTGAAGACAGTCAGTGGGTCTTGATGACAGTCAGTGGGTCTTGATGACAGCCAGGGGGCCTTGAAGACAGCCAAGGGGTCTTGAAGACAGTCAGGGGGTCTTGAAGGCAGCCAGTGGGTCATGAAGACAGCCAGGGGGTCTTGAAGACAGCCAGTGGGTCTTGATGACAGCCAGTGGGTCTTGACAGCCAGGGGGTCTTGAAGACAGCCAGGGGGTCTTGAGTACAGCCAGGTCTTGAAAACAGCCAAGGGGTCTTGAAGACAGACAGTGGGTCTTGAAGACAGCCACAGGGTCTTGAAGACAGCCAGTGGGTCTTGAAGACAGCCAGAGGGTCTTGGAGACAGCCAGTGGGTCTTGAAGACAGCCAGTGGGTCTTAAAGACAGCCAGTGGGTCTTGAAGACAGCCAGAGGGTCTTGAAGACAGCCAGGAGGTTTTGATGACAGCCAGGGGGTCTTGAAGACAGCCAGTGGGTCTTGAAGACAGCCAGGGGGTCTTGAAGACAGCTAGGGAGTCTTGAAGGCAGCCAGAGGGTCTTGAAGACAGCCAGGGGTATTGAAGAAAGCCAGGGGGTCTTGATGACAGTCAGGGGGTCTTAAAGACAGCCAGGGGGTCTTGAAAACAGCTAGGGAGTCTTGAAGGCAGCCAGAGGGTCTTGAAGACAGCCAGGGGTCTTGAAGATAGCCAGGGGGTCTTGATGACAGTCAGGGGGTCTTAAAGACAGCCAGGGGGTCTTGACGACAGCCAAGGGGTCTTGACAGCCAGAGAGTCTTGAAGACAGCCAGGGGGTCTTGAAGACAGCCAGAGAGTCTTGAAGACAGCCAGTGGGTCTTGAAGACAGCCAGTGGGTCTTGAAGACAGCCAGTGGGTCTTGACAGCCAGGGGTCTTGATGACAGCCAGTGGGTCTTAAAGACAGCCAGTGGGTCTTAAAGACAGCCAGTGGGTCTTGAAGACAGCCAGGATTTTTTGATGACAGCCAGGGGGTCTTGAAGACAGCCAGTGGGTCTTGAAGACAGCCAGTGGGTCTTGAAGACAGCCAGGGGGTCTTGAAGACAGCCAGGGGGTCTTGAAGACAGCTAGGGAGTCTTGAAGGCAGCCAGAGGGTCTTGAAGACAGCCAGGGGTCTTGAAGACAGCCAGGGGGTCTTGAAGACAGCCAGGGGTCTTGAAGACAGCCAGGGGGTCTTGATGACAGTCAGGGGGTCTTAAAGACAGTCAGGGGGTCTTGAAGACAGCCAGGGGGTCTTGACAGCCAAAGAGTCTTGAAGACAGCCAGTGGGTCTTGAAGACAGCCAGTGGGTCTTGACAGTCAGGGGTCTTGATGACAGCCAGTGGGTCTTAAAGACAGCCAGTGGGTCATGAAGACAGCCAGTGGGTCTTGAAGAGTCAGGGGGTGTTGAAGACAGCCAGGGGGTCTTGACAACCAGGGGTCTTGATGACAGCCAGTGGGTCTTGACAGCCAGTGGGTCTTAAAGACAGCCAGTGGGTCTTGAAGACAGCCAGTGGGTCTTGAAGACAGCCAGTGGGTCTTGAAGACAGCCAGGGGGTCTTGAAGACAGCCAGTGGGTCTTGAAGACAGCCAGGGGGTCTTGAAGACAGCCAGTGAGTCTTCAAGACAGCCAGGGGGTTTTGAAGACAGCCAGTGGGTCTTGAAGACAGCCAGTGGGTCTTGAAGGCAGCCAGGGTGGTCTTGATGACAGCTAGGGGGTCTTGAAGACAGCCAAGGAGTCTTGAAGACAGCTAGGGAGTCTTGAAGACAGCCAGGGGGTCTTGAAGACAGCCAGTGGGTCTTGAAGACAGCCAGGTGGCTTTGAAGACAGCCAGTGGGTCTTGAAGACAGCCAGGGGGTCTTGAAGACAGCCAGTGAGTCTTGAAGACAGCCAGGGATCTTGAAGACAGCCAGGGGGTTTTGAAGACAGCCAGTGGGTCTTGAAGACAGCCAGTGGGTCTTGAAGGCAGCCAGGGTGGTCTTGATGACAGCTAGGGGGTCTTGAAGACAGCCAAGGGGTCTTGAAGACAGCTAGGGAGTCTTGAAGACAGCCAGGGGGTCTTGAAGACAGCCAATGGGTCCTGAAGACAGCCAGAGATCTTGAAGACAGCCATTGGGTCTTGAAGACAGCCAGTGGGTCTTGAAGACAGCCAGGGGGTCTTGAAGACAGCCATGGGTCTTGAAGACAGCCAGTGGGTCTTGAAGACAGCCAGGGGGTATTGAAGACAGCCAGTGGATCTTGAAGACAGTCAGGGGGTCTTGAAGACAGCCAGTGGGTCTTGAAGACAGCCAGGGGGACTTGAGGCCAGCCAGGGGTCTTGAAGACAGCCTGGGGTCTTAAAGACAGCCAGGGGTCTTGAAGACAGCCAGGGGGCTTTGAAGACAGCCAGGAGGGCTTGAAGACAGCCAGGGAGTCTTGAAGACAGCCAGGGGGTCTTGAAGACAGCTAGTGAGTCTTGAAGACAGCCAGGGGGTCTTGGAGACAGCCAGGGGGTCTTGAAGACAGCCAGGGGTCTTGAAGACAGCCAGGGGGTCTTGAAGACAGCCAGGGGGTCTTGAAGACAGTCAGGGGGTCTTGAAGACAGCCAGGGGGTCTTGACAGCCAGGGGTTTTGATGACAGTCATGGGTCTTGAAAACAGCCAGGTGGTCTTGAAGACAGCCTGAGGTCTTGAAAACAGTCATGGGTCTTAATTAAAGACAGCCAGTTGCCTTGAAGACACCCAGGGGCCTTGAAGACACCCAGGGGTCTTGAAGACACCCAGGGGCCTTGAAGACACCCAGGGGTCTTGAAGACACCCAGGGGTCTTGAAGACACCCAGGGGTCTTGAAGACACCCAGGGGTCTTGAAAGCCCCCAGGGGTCTTGAAGACACCCAGGGGTCTTGAAGAAAACCCAGGGGTCTTGAAGACACCCAGGGGTCTTGAAGACACCCAGGGGGTCTTGAAGACACCCAGGGGTCTTGAAGACACCCAGGGGTCTTGAAGACACCCAGGGGTCTTGAAGACACCCAGGGGTCTTGAAGCCCACCCAGGGGTCTTAAAGGACACCCAGGGGTCTTTGAAGACACCCAGGGGCCTTGAAGACACCCAGGGGTCTTGAAGACACCCAGGGGTCTTGAAGACACCCAGGGGTCTTGAAGACACCCAGGGGTCTTGAAGACACCCAGGGGTCTTGAAGACACCCAGGGGTCTTGAAGACACCCAGGGGTCTTGAAGACAGCCAGGGGGTCTTGAAGACAGTCAGGGGGTCTTGAAGACAGCCAGGGGGTCTTGACAGCCAGGGGTTTTGATGACAGTCATGGTCTTGAAAACAGCCAGGTGGTCTTGAAGACAGCCTGAGGTCTTGAAACAGTCATGGGTTTTAAATTTAAAAGACAGCCAGTTGCCTTGAAGACACCCAGGGGCCTTGAAGACACCCAGGGGTCTTGAAGACACCCAGGGGCCTTGAAGACACCCAGGGGTCTTGAAGACACCCAGGGGTCTTGAAGACACCCAGGGGTCTTGAAGACACCCAGGGGTCTTGAAGACACCCAGGGGCCTTGAAGACACCCAGGGGTCTTGAAGACACCCCAGGGGTCTTGAAGACACCCCAGGGGCCCTTGAAGACACCCAGGGGTCTTGAAGACACCCAGGGGTCTTGAAGACACCCAGGGGTCTTGAAGACACCCAGGGGTCTTGAAGACACCCCAGGGGTTTTGAAAAACACCCAGGGGCTTGAAGAACACCAGGGGTTTTGAAGACACCCAGGGGTCTTGAAGACACCCAGGGGTCTTGAAGACACCCAGGGGTCTTGAAGACACCCAGGGGGTCTATTGGTATGTGATATTAGGTAAATTAATGGTTATAATTATAACCATAATTTTTAAAGGGGTTGAGGGGTAAGCCAGTGGAAGGCTTCAGTCAGATGACCAAAAGCTCCAGCTGTGGGTCATCATTTGACTAAGACCCGTGTAGGGTCTTGTCCTGTTTCCTGACGATCCTTACCTAACCTCAGGTAAATTTAGAATAGCTTAGATCTAATAAGAAAAAAGTAAATTAGTTTCAGAATTAGAAGAGGGCACTAGGGGACTTTTTCGAGCATTTTTACTATTAAATTTTTTAATCTGGAAGATTGCGTGTAGTAATAGCCTGGTTAGGCTCTGATCCACCATGAGGTCTGGTCACAGACCAGGCCGTGGGGGCGTTGATACCCGAAACTCTCTCCAGGTAACTCCAGGAGGGATTTTGGGGAGTGATGTAAGCACGACTTTCTCTTCAACTTACATCTCTCCTGAAGCCCAGGAGATCAGTAAGCACCAGTCCAGCGTCGGCCGCTGGAGTGCCAGAAAAGAAGAGATATTGAAACTCTGGCCAGTACGGGTCACCTTCTTCGTCTAGGCCCCAAGCATATCCCTCCACGGCCAATGGATTCGTTAAAGGACCTGGAGATCACAAAAAAAAAAAAACAAAAAAAAAAACATTGGTGCCATTACATAAACACAGGTGTTGATATAGTTAATTTACATGACTATTATGCTTCAGACTTTTACTGCTATAACCATCAAACAGTCAATCAGACTCCGGACGTTATTACTGCTTTTTGCGGAGCCAAGACACAAAAAATCAAAGAATTTAGAGTATGTTTAATGGAGTGACCAGAGTCCTAGGACCATGGTCACTTCAAAAAAGGTCCCAGAGCTGAAATTATTCATTTAGATTGGTCCTAAAGTGATAGAATTTTGCATCTTTTTATACCATACTTTTGTCCCTTTATATTTCAGAATTGGACTGACGGGGAGAAAATATATAACATATTTTTGCATAGTCCAAAGAGAGGTTTAACGTATGCCTATCAAAGTTAAATAAGAGTCAAATTTAAGATATACACAGATGTACCACTGTATATATATATTAAATATATATATATATATATATATATAATATATATAATAATATAATATAATTATATAAAATATATTATATACAGTGGACCCCCGCAAACGATTACCTCCGAATGTGCCCAAATTTATTAATGTATTTATGAAGTGCTTTTTATTGAGTTGGGGTCTGAAATGGACTAATCTACTTCACAATATTTTTTATGGAACAAATTGGGTCAGTACTGCACCTGAACAAACTTCTGATGAAAAAATATACGTTAACCGGGTCCACTTATATAATATAAAACAGGGGACCGCATAACGATGGCATCACATAGCATTATTCCGCATACCGCTTACTTTAATCGCAAAATTTTTGCCGCGCAAAACCGATTAAAAACCCGCTCACCCGATTTCGTCCGAGACCGTCCAATGTGCGCCCTCAGCCACCTCACATGTGCCCCCCCTGCCATTTGTTTACCAGCCAGCCTCCGCGGTAACATCCAAGCATACACTCGGAATATTTCGTATTATTACAGTGTTTTTCGGTGCTGTTTCTGGAAAATAAGTGACCATGGGCCCCAAGAAAGCTTCTAGTCCCAAACCCTGTGGAAAAAGGGTGAGAATTAGTAGGGAAAATTTAAGAAAGAATTTGAAGGGTTTGGGGCTAACCCTGAGAAGCCTATGCCAGTTGTGGAATCCATTGTGCCTACTTCAAAAATTAAGGAAATGTGTGCACAGTGGTTGAACTGCAAACCTTTATGGATGAAAATCACCCTGACACAGCTGTTGCAAGCCGTGCGGTGGGCTATTTCAATGACAATGTTGTGGCCCATTTTAGACAAATCGTAAAGGAACGGGAGGTACAGAGCTCTATGACAGATTTGTTGTGCGACAGAGGTCCAGTGACTCTCAAGCTGGTCCTAGTGGCTTAAAAGAAGAAGGGAAGTAACCCCGGAAAAGGACTTGCTACCCTCAAGTCCTAATGGAAGGGGATTCCCCTTCTAAACAATAAGTTCGACACTCTCCCCTCCTCCCATCCCATCAATCATCACCAGATCTTCAATAAAAGTAAGTGTCATGTAAGTGTGCATGCCTTTTTCAGTTTGTGTGTATTAAATTAACATTTCATGTGGTAAAAAATTTTTGTTTTCATACTTTTGGGTGTCTTGCACGGTTTAAATTTTTTATTTCCTTTATTTTTTATGGGGAAAATTCATTCACATAACGATTATTTCGCATAACAATTACCCCTCTTGCACGGATTAAAATCGTTAACCGGGGGTCCACTGTATATATATATATATATATATATATATATATATAATAAAAATATATATATATATTTTAAATATATTATATATATATATATATATATAGGTAGTAGGTTGGTAGACAGCAACCGCCCAGGGAGGTACTACCGTCCTGCCAAGTGAGTGTAAAACGAAAGCCTGTAATTGTTTTACATGATGGTAGGATTGCTGGTGCCCCTTTTTTCTGTCTCATGAACAGCAAGATTTCAGGTACGTCTTGCTACTTCTACTTAAACTTAGGTCACACTACACATACATGTACAAGCACATATATGCACACCCCTCTGGGTTTTCTTCTATTTTCTTTCTAGTTCTTATTCTTGTTTATTTCCTCTTATCTCCATGGGGAAGGGGGAAACAGAATTCTTCCTCCGTAAGCCATGAGTGTTTAAGAGGCGACTAAAATCCCGGAGCAAGGGGTTTGGTAACCTCTTCTCCTGTATAAAATTGCTAGGTGTAAGAGGAGAAACTTTCTTTTTTTCCTTTTGGGGCCACCCCGCCTCGGTGGGATACGGCTGGTGTGTGAAAGATATATATATATATATATATATATATATATATATATAAAATGGTACGTATGTATGTGTGAATATTTAATAATAACTGTAACTTAACCATTATAAGATTGGTGCCCAGTCTCTGGACTCATTATTTGCTTCTGTATTCTTCTGACTACCGCCCACGGGAAGGCTGAAAAATATAACTATTAAACTAACTCACGGTGCAGCTACGAAATACAGAAATGAACCTTGTCTGTTCTGGATGTAATTTCTAATGTGTGCGGGATTGATGAGATCCAATAAGCGGGAAGCAGATCCTGGCTTGACAGTCCACGAGAGGCCGACGACAGCTGGATGGTCCTGTAGATTGCTGCCCACTCCAGGAAGGTCCACCAACACTGGTATCTAGGGTGAAGATGCAACATAGTGGGAGCAAGATGTAAATGATGGCAGATGAAGTTTACATATACGTATATATACGTATATACGTGTGTATATATATATATATATATATAGTATATATATATATATATATATATACAGTGGACCCCCGCATAAAAGATGGCAATCGCATAGCGATTTTTCTTTCCGCATAACGATTACTTATATCGGAAAATTTTTGCCCCGCAACCGATTAAAAACCCGCATACCGATTTTCGTCCGAGACGCGTCCAATGTGCCCGACCACCTCACAAGTTTCCGCTCCGTCCCATTGTTTACCACCAGCCTCCGCGGTAACATCCAAGCATACACTCGGAATATTTCGTATTTTTACAGTATTTTCGGTGCTGTTCTGGAAAATAAGTGACCATTGGCCCCAAGAAAGCTTCTAGTGCCAAACCCCACACCTCAAAGGGTAAAATTACTATAGAGATGAAGAAAGAGATAATTGATAAGTATGAAAGTGGAGTGCGTATAGCCGACCTAGTCAAGCTGTACAAGAAACCCAATCAACCCTCGCTACTATTGTGGGCACCAGAAAGACAATCAAGGAAAGCTGTTTCTTGCCAAAGGTTTTAACTGTGTTTTCGAAACAAAGATCGCAATTGATGGAAGATGTTGAGAGACTCTTATTGGTGTGGATAAATGAAAAACAGATAGCAGGAGTAGGTCCTAACGATCATATTTGAAAAGGCTAGAATTTTGCATAGATTTAAATTAAAAAAATGCCTGCAACTAGTGTGTTTGAGTAAATTTAAAAGGCCACAAAGTTGGTTTAAAATTTTTAAGAAGCGTAGTGGCACCATGGTGAAAAGGGCATGGTGAGGCCCCAGTTCGGACCAAAAAGGGGCTGAAAAATATGGCAGGAATTAAGGGGAGTACATAGAAACTAAAGGGGACAAAAACCCGAACAAGTGTTTAATTGTGATGAAACAGGCCGTTCGGAAAAACCCAAGCGGACTAATTAACTCAGGAGAAAAGGAAAATTTTCCCGGGAATAAGCCAAAGAAAAAAGGGGTTTACTTTGTTGAGGGGTTGCCAATGCAACTGGTGATTGCAAAGTGAACCCTTTATTAGGTATCATCTGAACTCCCAGAGGTTAGCAAAGAACCCCAAGGATAATTTGTGTGTGCTGTGGGGGGCAAACAGAAGGCAGGTCACTGGGGAATTTTCTATAACTGGTTACACCATGCATTGCCCCCAATGTGAAAAATTACCTAACGAAAAGAAATTAAACTTTAAATTTTTCCGGGGTTAGACAATGCCCCGGTCATCCACAACGTGTCAGAGCGACCCTTTTTGGGGGGCATGGTTCATTAAGGGAAGTTTTTTTCCTCCTAATACCCCCTCTCCTGCCCCCATGGACAGCAGGGTTTTTTCCAAAATTTAAGAAACGTACACAAAAACTCTTTTGAAAGGGGCTTTGAAGACCTCAAAACTCAAGACTTAAAAAAGAGTTTTGGGGAGATCACTTTTTAAATCCTCAAAATTTTTAAACCTTATAGGTAAGGCTTGGGGGGGAATTACAAAAACCTTTTCTCTGCTTTGGGAAAAAACTGTGGGCCCAAAAGTGTAACAAAAGGGGGTTTTGAAAAGGGTTTTTAGGTAACCCTGAAATCCTGTGCCCGTTGAGGGAAACCATTTGGGGGTTGGGAAAGTCCTTGGGGGTTTGGGGGTTAGGGGGAGGATGTGGGAGTTGGGGGAGGAGGACAATGAAGAACAACCACTGATGACTCTAGATCAAATTTAACGCAAGAGGGCCCCACCTGAGGAAATGTTCGGAGGGGGGAAAAGAAATTGAAGAAGTTGCCACTTTTAAAAATTAAGGAAAATTTGCTAAGTGGCTTTAATGCAAACCCTTTAGGGGTGAAAAATCACCCTCACACAGCTATTTCAAACCGTGCGGTATTATTACACTGACAAAGTTTAAAAACTTTAGGCAAGTCATAAAAAGGGAAAGAGAGGGACAGGGCCCCTATGGACAGAAAACTTTTGCAAAAAATCCAGGGGCTCTGAAGCTGGCCCTTGGATTAAAAAAAGAAGGGGAATAACCCAGAAAAGGACTTTACCTCAAGTCCTAAGGAAGGGATTCCCTTCAAACAGTAAAAGATATTGCTCTCCCCTCCTCCCCCTCCCCTCAACATCCCAATCTTCAATAAAAGTAATGTCATTTAATTGGCATGCCTTTTTTAGTTTGTGTGTATTAAAAATTTAAAATTTTATGGGTAAAAAAAATTTTTTCATCTTTTGGGGGTCTTGCACGGTTTAATTTTTTTTTCCATTATTTTCTTATGGGGGAAAAATTTATTTCGCAAACGATTATTTCGCATAACGATGAGCCCTCTTGCACGGATTATAATCGTTAACCGGGGTCCACTGTATATAATAATATATATATAAATATATAAATATATATATATTATAAAATATATATGTATGTATATAGATTTTGGCAGTTTGGAGGGATATGTTATGTATCTTTATACGTATATGCTTCTAAACTGTTGTATTCTGAGCACCTCTGAAAAAGCAGTGATATGTGTGAGTGTGGTGAAAGTGTTGAATGATATGAAAGTATTTCCTTTTGGGGATTTTCTTTCTTTTTGGGTCACCCTGCCTCGGTGGGAGACGACCAACTTGTTGAAAAAAAAAATAAATTTAAAAATATAAAATATATATATATAATTTATTTTATATATATATATATAAATATATATATGCAATAAGAGCCCCAGTAAACAGGGGATTTCAGAATATGCAAAACAACCACTCTGAAAGAATAGAGAAATTCCAAGCGCTTTCGGACTACTCCAATTATCAAGGAACTATGATAATGTGAGTAGTCACGAAAGCGCTTGGGAAATTTTTCTATTCTTTCAGAGTGGTTTTTTTTGCATATAATATATAATATATATAAATATAATATATAATATATATATATAATATATATATTATATAATATATATATATATATATATATATATAAATGCAAAACAACCACCTGAAAGGGAAAAGAGAAATTCCAAGCGCATTCGTGATTACTCACATATATATATATATATAAAAATATAATTTTATATATATATATATATAAATATATATATAATATATATATATATTATATGTATATAAATATATATATATAATATTATATTTTATATAATAAATATATATTGTCTTCTCTGAGGATGAGGGTCCCCATTCCAGCTACAGAGGTGGTACTTCCCTATATACAGGAGGGCCCCACTTATACGGCGGGTTAAGTTCCAGGCTACCGCCATAAAGCGGGAAAACCCCCGTAAAGTGGAAAAACCCTTTTTTCCACTTACAAAATGCATACAAACACTAGATAACAAGTTTACACTAACATATATTATGTTAGCAATAGAACCAGGCATCAAAAAAACAATAAAAAAGTACAATACACACATAGTGCACTCATTACTTACCTTAAAAATATTTATAGTCTTAATCTAGGGTGAGACAAGTATATTTATTGTAAGAAATCAAGTGTGTAAAGTATGGAGTCAGCCAGGCACCATACCAGGCCCCCTCACCCACACATACTATTCTATGAATTTAAGCATCCCAGAGCGATAAAAGTATATACAGTTCACTCATTACTTACCTTAAAATAAGGGTGAGATGAGTAGTATTTTTTGTAAAAAATCAAGTGTGGTATGTATGGTAGTCAGCCAGGCTACCATACCAGAGAAAGAATAGTGCATGAGAGAGGACAGGCGCAGAGTTATGTAAAAAAAACCAGGCGAAGGTAAGTTTTGTAAAACAGGGTACACGTCTGGTTTGTGTACAAGTTACATTGTGTACAGGTTGTCTCTACATTGATACGGTAGAATAAATAAAGAACACTCCCATTCTCATGTAACATCATTTTGAGAAAAAAGAAACTAGTGAAGGGAAAAGGAATAAGTCCA